TTCCCACCCTGACAGTGGCTGGAACGCTCTGCTTGCCTTAGCAAGTGCGCCCTTCGCTTTCTTATGTAAATAGTTTCTCCTTAGGAGTAGTTAGCAGTTGCTCTTTGTTAGATAGTGATTAGATAGTGTTGATAGTAGTTTCCGGCTTCCCTAGGTGAGGAGGGCATGTCTACAGAGCTCCGAACCCAGGCCCCGCGGAATCCGCACAAAGATTGTTTGAAATGCCTGGGTGAGGGCCATTGAACTAACGCCTGCGAGATCTGCAGACAGAGGGAGACTCCAGGCTTAAGCTCCTGTTAATGGAGTTGGCACTTCAGCCCCCCACCAGAGCCGGCAGCGCACCGGCCTCAAAGCCAGGTCATGCAGTGGGCTCAGTCCTCTGTCCCATGCAGCCAGTGTTCAACCTCTGTGGAATGTGGCTACAGATCTGCCTCCTCCTAACCCCTCTCTGATCTTTTGTAGCCTTACGAAGGACGAGTCCAAAAGGCCAAAGTATAAAGAGCTTCTGGTGAGTCGAACTGCTTGAGTGGGCGGGCTGGGGGGCGGGAGCTTGCGGAATCAGGGTTGAATGTTTAGGTTGGCAAGTGCTGGGTTCTCGGAATGAAAACAGCGGGGTTCTGCACTCCTTAAATACCGTTTTCCTTCGCTGGGCTTACAGCTTCTCTCCAGTACGGGAATTTCCTCCTCTCGCGTGGGAAGCACAAGATGGCTTCCCGCGACGTGTCTGCCCAGGACCCCCTGCGTCCTGGGCACTGCCAGAGCGAGGGCTTTGCCTTGAAGGAGCGTGGCTCATTCGCTGTTTAAACATGCCTGATTGTGACCGGCTGTAATTGAAGTCAGTGAGCGGCCCCTGCATCCAGCGGGCCTCATGTTCTAAACCTGAGGGGCTCAGAACCGGGATGCATCCCTGTGCCGAGCTCCGGGCCCCTGGGGATGGTCTTGTGCGCCCCCTAGTGGCTCTGCAGCCACAGTCTACTCGCCAGCCTGCCAGACGGGGGATGCACCCCTGGGCCGGGCCCCGGGCCCCTGGGGATGGTCTTGTGCGCCCCCTAGTGGCTCTGCAGCCACAGTCTACTCGCCAGCCTGCCTTCCGGGTTCGTTGCAGACTGATGCATAAAGAGCAGCTGGAGAGGTGAAGCTTTTGTTCAGTAAAACTTGTGTAAACGTCTCCTCAGTTTCCAGGCAGAAATCAGCATTTGCCATGAAGTGTAGCCAGGTGTGTAACAAGCAATAGAAGTGTTAGAAGCAAACCAGCACCCCTTTTCCGGTTAGTGGTGTCTCAGCTCTGCAAATTGCCATATTATAGCAACTCAGTTAACAACGCTCGTTCAGGCGGAGTACCACTGCGCTGTGCACAGGTGCAAATAGGCATGTGCCCCCAGACACCAGCCTGGCTGTGGTCCTCGGTGTGTCAGCTCTGCAGGCTTGGAGACAGACGCTAGCCCCGAGAGGCCGCTATTCTGCAGCCCTCGGGCTCTGCTGCATGGACTGTTCATGGAGCCCCAAGGAAAGTGGTGCTAGATAAAGTCTTGTCTGCCCCACAGCTCCATTCATGTGGGGGAACCTGCTGTTCTTCGAGTGCTTGCTTATGTCCATTCCGCCTAGGTGTGCGCACCCCGTGTACGTGTTCCAGAAGCTTTTTGCCCTTAGCAGTACCCGTTGGGCCAGCAGGGGAGCCCCCTGGGGTGGCGCTGGCATATCCGAGTGCATAGCCTCCTGCTGGCCCGCCACCCCCTCAGTTCCTTCTTTCCACCCTGACAGTGGCTGGAACGCTCTGCTTGCCTTAGCAAGTGCGCCCTTCGCTTTCTTATGTAAATAGTTTCTCCTTAGGAGTAGTTAGCAGTTGCTCTTTGTTAGATAGTGATTAGATAGTGTTGATAGTAGTTTCCGGCTTCCCTAGGTGAGGAGGGCATGTCTACAGAGCTCCGAACCCAGGCCCCGCGGAATCCGCACAAAGATTGTTTGAAATGCCTGGGTGAGGGCCATTGAACTAACGCCTGCGAGATCTGCAGACAGAGGGAGACTCCAGGCTTAAGCTCCTGTTAATGGAGTTGGCACTTCAGCCCCCCACCAGAGCCGGCAGCGCACCGGCCTCAACTAGAGAGACAGAGGGGGCTCCAAGGCACACTGCACCTTCCCGGCACCAAGGCACCGATCTCAATCGCTGGTGCCATCGACTAGTAAACGGGCGCGAAGTGAAAGGTCTCCGTGGAAGCTGTACCGGAGCACCTGCCCCCGGGAGCCGGTGCTTCAAGGGAGGAGCCCAGTAGCATCGGGAGCCCAAGGGGGCCAGAACCTATCCCTGGAGGAGGTCCAGAGGCCATCCACGCCGGAGACCCACGTGCCTAAGCCGGCCCCGGCACTGCCCAGGCAAGAGCCAGGCTCAGCATCGCTGGCACCGCCGCCCCCGGTGCAGGAGACACCATGGAGGAGGGCGCCTCTCCCCACAGAGTCGGCACCGCTTCTGGCAGCACCGCACACTCCGGTACTAGAGTCCCACGCCATGCCGCCCCTGCCGGTACCACCTGTACCCCACAGAGGGAAACCGTCTGCCATGGCTCACCATGCGGCTCAGGGGGAACAAGGGTCTTCTGCATCGCTGTGGTCAGCATCAGAATACTCTTCACAGTCCTAAGCGGAGTCTCTGGCCTCGTCAGCCTCCTCTCGACGGTCGGCTGCATCTAGGGTCTCTCTCGTCCCGTAAGTCAGCGCACCGCTCTAGGTCGGGTCACCGGTCCTCGTCTCGGCACCGCTTGGGGCATCGCAGCCCACCCATGGTCCAGACATGGCCCCCCCGCCTATGCAGTGGCTTTTCTGGACACTATGGGCCTATCATCAGGCACAAGGCCATGACCTGTCGAGACCAGGCTCTGTGGTGTCCTCGGTGCGCTCTAGCCATAGGTCTGCCCCCTCGGCTACCCCGCTCACCAGAGACTCAGGCTCAGAGACTAGAGCCAGCCCCCCAGGGTCGAGAGGTGAATCGGCTGAACCATCCCGTCAGCCCCTTCCAGCAGGCCCTGCCCAGAGCCCTGGCCCCAGGACTGAGCCTGCCGCCACGGTTATGGTTCAACCCCAGCTGCTGGAGTCCTCATCCTCATCACTGGAAGAGGCCTTAGCAGATCCATCTCCGGGCATGCCTACGATGGACATGCGAGGCCATCAGGACCTCCTAGGAAGTTGAGGAGGAGGACCCGATGGTGGACATTCTTACGGCTGACGCCCTGGCTAAGATCACCCTCCCTCTGAAGAAAACGGTGGCAAAAATAACCAACACCTTATGGCAGACACCGGCCTCCTTTCCCCTGACACAAAAAGGGTTGAGAGGAGGTATTTCGTGCCCCAGTCTGGGCACGAGCATCTCTTCGCGCATCCACCTCTGGGTTCAGGCAGCTTGCCAGAGGGAGAGGCAGGGGCAGTGGAGCCCTACTCTGAAGAGTAAGGAGCCAAAGAAGTTGGACCTGCTGGGGTGCAAGGCGCATGCTACGGTGGGCCTACAGCAGAGGATCACAAACCAGCAAGCGATGCTCAGCCGGTACACGTTCAGTTCTTGGGTGGCGGTGAACAAATTCAAGGACCAGCTGCCCCAAGCTTCCCAGTAGGAGTTTGCCGCCTTTATGGAGGAAGGAAGCACTGCAGGCAAACAGCTCTGCAGGCTGACCTGGATGCCGCAGACTCGGCAGTTGGGGCCACGGCCACGGGCATTGTTATGCACAGGTGCTCGTGGTCCAGATCTCCGGCATACTGCAGGAGGTCCAGGTGACATTACAGGACCTCCCCTTGGAGGGCTCCGGGCTGTTCTCAGAGCAAACAGACAAGCTACACACCCTTGAATACTCCAGGACCCCCTAAAATCCCTGGACATCCACAGT